GGTACAACGGCGCGCCTGTATCGATCCTGTGCTGATGCCCTCACAGGGCATAGTTTGTGAGGGTAGGAACATTCAGTCCTAGGATGCGGGTGGTGGCCGCTGTTCTAGCTGTTCCAGGCCTCTCTGTCCGTCCTCCAGCATTGCCCGTCGCGGCCTTTTCCTGCCACCCGCACCAAGACTACGGTGCGCGGTTCGGGGCCGCAGCATCGACTCGCCTGTTTCTGTTCAACTCCCTGCGACTTCAAGACTAACTTGCTCGTCGAAAGCCCGGTCCGGCTGTTCCTGAGCGTCCCCCCGCTCCCCCTGGGTGGTCCGCACCAAGTCGTAGCTGTGGCGCGTCTTCCTACCGCGTACGCCGGCGCTTGTTCTGCCTACTCCGCACCATAGACTACGGTGCGCGTCGCCAGGCCCCGTCCGGCTCTGTTCAATGCCACCGCACGCGCCTCACGCAAACTACGGTCTGCAGTCGGGGCCAGCGCGTCGACCCGGGGGGAGTAAGGAGAAAAAGATGGAGGGAGAAAGTAAGGAGAAAGGTAGGGACGGGAAAGAAGGGGGGGACAATAGGGGGGGGAAGAGGGACCAACTACACAAATCGCGATGCAGATAGTGCACAAACGGTGATGAGGGGGCAGGACAAGTAGGGTGGGGAAAAGGATTCAGAAAGAAACGCAAAGAAAAAGGAAAGCTTCAGCCTGTTCCTGCCAGTGCCCCTCGCACGTGTCTAAGACTATACGGTTGGCCCACCGCGTCGCTCAGCCCGTCTCGGGCCTGTTCGTTCGGCCCCCACGAACCTTCTGCCGCACTCAATACTACGGTGCGTCGAGTCGCCACAGCGCCCCGACCCGGCCTGTTCCTGCACACCGACACCCCTCCGCTCCCAATTCTTAATTTAGCGGTGCGCTTTTCGGTCCTAGCCCTGTCGCGGGCCTTGTTCCTGCCACCCAGCAGCTCAAGACTACTGTGCGCAGTCGCCAGCTCTCGGTCCCGGCCTGTTCTGCGGCCAACCCCGTCCACCAAGGTCTACGGTGCCCTCAGATGAACGGCCAGAGTTCTGCCGTCTGCCCAACGGGGCCTGACTGCCCGTCTCGCCCGGGGCAAAGCCCGCTGTCAAAGCCGCCCCGTCTGCTCATGAGCCATCAGAGCGTCGGCTCAGACGGCAGAGTCCGCTAGAGGCCTTCCAGCAGACAGGTATCAGCCAGAAGCCTTCTGCCATGACTAGGATCAGCCATGAGCTCTTACCGCCAGCATTGAGGCAGTGCCATATCCGTCGGCCAGCTCATGAGTGCATCCAGTATTCCGTCGGCTCAGCTCTGATGACAGCAGATCCGTCGGCCGAGCCATGAGGGCTAGCCTAGATCCGTCAGGCCTATGTCATGAGCATCGCAGGATCCTTCAGGCCGCCGATGAGCCAGTGCCAGCCAGGTGTGGCTGTCCTCTTAGCTGCCGGTGGTCTTGCGCCGTCCTATAATCGCTGAGGTTGGAGTAAGTTTGAGGGTGGTGCATCGTGGAGGAGGCTAGGGAAGCGGGTGGTGACTAAGGTGGGGTGGGGACACGACGCAGGGCCTAGAACGCCACGTGGACAGACGCCCACATCCGCCCCTTCCCCGAGACTGTATGCTGGTGGGCGGCTGGTCGGAGGCGCACCTGAGGGGGGGGACTGTAAGCACTCTGGCCATCGCTAGGACTCTGATTGTTGAGCCATGGGTTTTATTTTCATTTATGGGTGATTTTCTATGTTGGATCTAGTTGTCATTTCTATGTTTGGTTTTGTCGTTGATATCTATGACTCCGCAATCGGAGGTACGAGTGGTCAGCTGTCGGGATTCTGCGTTATCTCTGATTGGGAGGGGGCGCTATATTTAAAGCTGTGTGGTTTCTGCCTTGGTTGTGGTTTTTTTTCCGTTTTCAGTCAGGTTGCTGTGGAGCTTCACTAGTCGTGGGTTCTTGTTTTTTTTTTTCGTGGTCTTTAACTTAAATAAAGTACCATTTCCGTTCAACACGCTTGCGCCTTGTCTATTCCTTCACCACGACCGTGAACACTATGAGCGCTTGGTGGTATCGGCGTCGAATTCTGGTGGGTATTGCTGTCAATCAAAGAATAGCACTTAGGCTGCACCGTATTGTAGAGTCCTTTTATTATCCCACGAGGTACAGCATAAGTATAACAGAAACAGTACCCAACCCGCGCGGAGATCCGGAGAAGCAGTCCGCAAATAATCTCAATGCTTTCTGCCGCTATTCCGCGTTTCCCCCAGTATATATAAAACCTCGCCAAGATGTGGGTGCTCCTCTACTGTCCAAATCCCGTGTCTACACCACCTTCCTGTCTGTTGTATTGGCGTTACACTAAAACAGTCGCCATCTTGGATACGGGCATAAATCAACATTCTTCAGTTCCATCTCAAAAAAACCTTTAACAGTAGACGCAGTCATAATCTCAATACAACTTACGGCTTCCTATCAGTCGCATCGGCTCATTGGAGTGCTCTGTCCATAATGTTTTCTTCTTGCACCTCGAGATGCTAGGCATAACTGGGAAACAGAGCGGCAGTTTCCCCCTCCGTCTCAGGGAGTGGTTCAGATTTCGCCTACCTTGCGATTGGTTTAGAACTTCATCATTATGGATATCAACGAACACTCCATCTGGCAGTACAATTCAATCGGAGCATTAATTTAGTTAAAACGAAGTCTCTACCTAGCAAGTTGAACGGTTGAGTGGGTGAATACAGAACATCATGGTCAACATTCATTCGGGTCCCTACAGTATTGAACAGGGTGATGGTTTTGTTCGCAAAATGTTTACCGGGGTGAGAAAATCCATAATGCGTTTTGTTTTATTAGTTAGGGATAGGTCAAGTCCAGTTTCTTTACGCAAAAGGGGATGTAGTAGCACTTTGTATCTACTACTCCCCAAGCAGAGGAATTTGGTTTTTCCTGTATGTTTTACGCATAATGTTTGGGTCGCAGATTGATCTATCTTTACCTAGTGGGCATTTGCTGTATCAAAGATGTTGTTAACCTCTAAGGGTGTTCGCTGTTCTATCTAGCCTCCTCTCCTCTGTGGTTCCAATTCTCTTTGGACACTCATGCTCGCAGTGGTTTGTGAGCAATGAGAGCAGTCTTCATCTCATTGATTCCTATTCCTATTGTCCCGCATCTCGATCAGCCCTCGGGCTTGAACATAACCCCATGGTCTACTCTGCATCTGAGAGCTCTAGGAGTCCCTCTTGGAGATGGGAGAACTCCTTCCAGAAGGACAACCATCTCTGGCAGCACTACAACCAATCAGGCTTTATGTGAGTAGTGGCCTACTCGTCAGTAAAAGGCACGTGACAGTGCCGAGCGTCCACTTTAGGAGTTCGCCGGAACAGGCACCTAAGACTCTCAGAGGATCGCATGAGAAACCAGGTCTCTGTTCTGATGTTAAACCGATAGATGCACTATTTGGCCTGAATGCCAGTGTCATGTCTGTAGGAAACCTTGCACCATCGCTTTAACAGTAAGCAATGGTGGTGGCAGCAAAACATGTTTTTTTGGCTCTGTCATTATGGCGGTATGTGTGTAATTTTATGAGGGAATAAACAATTTAATTGTCCTTTAGAATAAGGCTGTAACAAAATCGTAAAAAGTCTATAGGGGTCTGAATACTCTCGCGAATGCACTGTATATCACGGCATCTTTCACGCATGATCACTGCTTTCTTGGCTTCTTCTTGCTAACCTGCCAACACCTATTCAAAATAAAAACTAATACAGTGAGGCGTGCTTCCACACACTTTGTAGATTTTAATTTAGGTTGTAGGCAATAGTTATCATATTTTTTATAGTATGTATAATTCGGCAGTAAATTTATCTATATGAAGCTGAATACAGCTGATGATTGCGTAGCCTGGAGAAATCCAGTGCTGTTTCTGTTAACGATCCACTGCTTGTACAGCTGCTTGTCATTTTGCATAATACAAGGAGTGGTAATGTACGAACAGACTGGATTTCTCCCAGCTACTTATAAATAATCATCCAAGAGACTATAACTTTGTTAATCACACTTTGTCTCCTCATCAGACAACCTTTCTGTTATTTATTTGAATCATCTTTGTGCCCTCATCATAAAGACAACTCTCTGATTTATTTGATCATCTTTGGGCCGGCTCATCAAGGACCCTCATGCTTGATTATCTCATTTTAATGTCTATCTTTGGGCCCACATCAAAGAAGGATGACAGACTCTCTGATTTTTTTGAATAATCTTTGGCTCATCAAAGACAACTGCTCTGATTTATTTATTGAATCATCTTTGGCCCTCATCGAGAAGGAGCTAAACTCTCCTGATTTATTTGAATCATCTTTGGCCTCTGCGATGCAAGCACAACTCTCTGATTTATTTGTGGTCAGTTCTCCTGCAGGCTTTGGACATGTCCCACTTTCTGATGCCGAGCAGACCGTGAGAGCTCGAGGGAGTGTTTGCTGGGCGGTGGTGAAATGGATTGTGACGACTGTCGCAGCCTGTTCTCCGGTCATTAGAGGTCCAGCGGGGGGGGGGGTGGGGGAACTGGATGAGCTTTCTGTGGGCCCAAGACACCTAAGTTCATCCTCTCTTTTATAGGCCCGCGGACCAATTTAATTGATGTTATGTTATGTATTTATTATTAGATTTTTTTGGGGGGAAGCTCTAGTCTGGTCTCAATTTATGTTGAGAGTTCGATTAGTAATGAATACACAATGTGGCAGTTCGAGACATTTGTTTGCCTTAGCTATTTTCTGTCTTGTTTGTCTAGTCACTACATTCACTCACCGTAGACGCCTGTCAGATAACATTTTTAGATTGGGTAATGCAGTCTCGGCTGCTATCTAAACTTGTAAGTCAGCATGTTTCGAATTACCAACCAGGGTCCGCGCCATTGGGATTTTGTTAGTCTTACTCTCTACTCATGTATATCATATTAAAAACTGGCAAAACATTGTTTTGCTTAGGGTTCAAATATGACTGCATTGTGTTGTAGGATGTGGGTCCCGGCAGAGCCCGCCGAGCCACTGAGGACCCTCATGATGAGTGTTAGTACCCGCGGAGCCCACTGAGGATGCCTGCCAAATGATGAGTTCAGACCGCCGAGCCATACTGAGGAACCCTCATGATGGAGTTCAGACCCTCGTCCACTGAGGACGCGCTTCATGATGTAGTTCTAGACCCGTTCGAGCGTCACTGAGGACGCGGCTCATGATGAGTTTAGAGACTCCGGCGAGCCACTGAGGAGCCTCCTGTGAGTCAGACACCGCGGAGCCAGTGCTGAGGTGACCCTCATGATGAGTTTCAAGTACCGGCGCGATCCAACTGAGGACCCTCGTGATGAGTTCAGACCGCGAGTCTCACTGAGGACCCTCATGATGAGTTCGCTAGGAACCTCCGCGAGCCACTGTGGACCTTCATGATGATTTAGACCCTCGAGCGCACTGCGGACAGGCTGCTCATGATGATTTCGGTACCCCGCCCGCGAGCCAACTGAGGACCCTCATGATGATTTCTGACCCGCGAGCCGAACTGTGGACCCTCATGAGATTTCAGACCCGCGAGCCACTGCGGACGCGCTCATGATTATTTCAGATCGACCCGGCGAGCTCAGTTCTGGCTGAGCCGCTCATGATGAGTTTCAGACTCCGTTCGAGTCCACTACTGCGGACTACCTCATGATGAGTTCGACCCGCGAACCTACTGTGGACCCTCATGATGAGTTCAGAACCTGCGAGCGCACTGTGGACGGCTCATGTATGCGTCTAGTACCCGCGGAGCCATTCTGCCGTACGTCTCATGAGGGTTCAGAACCGCAAACGCAGCATTTGACCTCATGATTGAGTTCAATGGTTTGTTGGCCACCACCCGCATCAAGTTCCCATGTCGCCCTGGTTCTAGTGGGTCGACGGATACTGAATGGAATTTTCCATGTGTTCTTTATGTGAGAACTCCTTTGTAGATCTTGATTTATGTCAAGCACATTTGACATAATGGTTGTTTCATGAGTTTGTACATGGCGGCAATGTCTGGCGTGTCCCTTAACATGTACGGACCGATTAAGTTCCCAGAGGTTGTCGTGTGGTCTGTTCTATCAACAAAGGATATCATAGGGAGGATCATGTTGCTTCATGTAAAAAGGTCCATGGTCTTAGGAAGGGCACTGCCGTTGTAGAGATGCATTATGTTTTCGCTACACAACAATTGTTTTTTAATCATTATTTAGTGTCGCCATTGTGTTGCATCAATATGCGTACTTATGGTAGTTTTCTAGGTTGTTGAATCTCACACTGTTATATCGGTGGCAGCTGAGTCAAACTTCTCTAGATGCAAAGTGTCCTGTTGTTTGTGTGTTGGCAGAACTGGGAGAAACTGAGTATCATTTCCAGCTGCTGTCAGCCCTTGCCAGCTACATCAGCGTCGCTCTCTTGCTCCTACTACTGCAAGAAGCAACCATGGAGGATGATGAGGCTAGTCATTGTGGCATGGAGAGTGAGTGTGGTGAGTGAGACGTCAGAAACAGGCTCCAAACACACACACACAGTCGCTTACCTTGGTAGACATGAGCTGCATCTGTTTGTTTTGTCTATGAGTCGATTCTGGACTCATGAATCGAGCAGAGTCTTTTCTGAAAATGCTGACATACTAACCTCTCATTACGTCGCTGTCTGTTGTCGATTATAGTGCAGGCATAGATCCTTTAAATATGCTCTGTCTTGCTAAGCTTGCACTCTTTTGTTACATTTACAAGTTGAAGTCAGATTTACATACACTTAGGTGGGGAGTCGATTAAAAAACATCGTTTTTCATTTGCAACCCTGCTACAAAATTACTTGTTATAAGCACTATAGTTTTTGGGCAAAGTCGTAGGACATCTACTAATTGGTGGCATGCACAAGTAATTTTTGCCAACAATTGTTTACAGATAATTATTTCATTTATAGATTCACTGTATGCGCACAATTCCAAGTGGGTCAGATGTTTACAGCAGGCTAAGTTGACTGTGTCTTGAAACATGGCTTGAAAACCTTTACTCAGTTACACCAGCTCTGGTGCAGGAGGACATGGGCCAAATTCACCGCAACTTATTGTGGGTAGAGGCTTGTGAAATGAGGCTAGTCCAAAACATTTGACCCAGTTACACAATTAAAGGTTCAATGCTAGGCTATCCCCCAAATACTATATTGAAGTGTAGTAAACTTCTGACGCCAATGGGAATGTGTATGAAGCATAATATAAAGCTGAAATAAATCATTCTGCTCTAGCTATTATTCTGACATTTGGCACATTCTTAAAATAAAGTGGTTATCCTTACGTGGACCTAAGACGAGGGATAGTTTTACTAGGATAAATGTCTGGTAATTGTGACAACTGAGTTTAAATGTATTTGCTTAGTGTATGTAACTCCTACTTCCACTGTAGTAGAGAAATGAACTTACAATTCTAGTGGACTATTCCCTGGGGGCAGTCGGCCATGCCCATTGCACGCCCATCCCGTCTCAAAACTCATAACTCCTCAGAGACACTCTGTGACTTGTGTTGGGAGGCTCAGAACATGCACTATTTAAAGTGGCCACTTTTATTGTCCCTCAACACAAGGTGGCACCTGTTGAATGATATGCTGTTTAATCAGGGCTGTCTATGCTTGATTGGGCAAAGAGAATTGTCTGCATTAACATGGGATGTAACAATTTGTCGCAACATTTAAGAGAAATAAGCTTTGTGCATATGAAAAATTTTGGGGGATCTATATTTCAGCTGCATGAATACATGGGAGCCTATGTTTTATTGCATTGTTGGCGTTATTTTTGTTTTCATATAGATACAGTGGGCTCAGATACGATATTCATACCAGACCCCTTGACTTATTCCAAATTTTTTGTACAGTCCTGAATTTAATAATGGATTAAATATTTTTTTCCTCTACTCCATCTTGAACACATACCACAGAGCTAAAGTGAAAACATGTTTTTTAGAATGTTTTGCTTAATTTATATTGAAAGAAATGCAGAAATAAGCGGCTATTTACAATATCGTATTCACAGACGCCTGTAGTCAATACTATTGTAGAAGCACTCTTTGGGAGTGATTACGAGCTGTGAGGTCTTTCTGGGTAAGTCTCTACGCGTTTTCCACACCTGGATAGGGCACATTTGCCGTGATTATTCTTTCAAAGATTCTTCATCGCTCTGTCAAGTGTGGTTGTTGATCATTGGCTAGTGAACGAACGCACTTTTAGGTCTTGTGTCCATTAGATTTTATGTATGTTAAGGTTAAGACTGTTTTTGGCCCCTCAGGAAATTCACTGGGGGGGGGGGGGTAGAAGGTATACTTTATCCTATCCCTAGGTATTCCTTAACGAGGTGGGGGTTCAATGTCTCCGGGAAGGTGGTGGTGACTTCCGCTGTCGCTGCGGTCGTGAGGGTTTCATTTGTAAAAATGTCGCAAAACAGAATCCACTTTGACATTATGGGGTATTGTGTGTAGCGCCATTGAGCAAAAATCTAAATGTAATAAATATAGTATAAAAATCAGCTTAACAGAACAAAATGTGGAAAAGGTCTAAGGGGTGTGAATACTTCCTGATGCACTGTAACTTACTGTATTTAATGACTAAGCAAATGGTTGTTTCTATTGATTAACATGGAGGACTTTCTACTTTGATATGCTTTATGTTCTTTGAAAAATAAACAAAGATGTTACATCATCTTGTGAAACAAATATTAAGTCTAAATTTTTGCATGATGAAAGTCATAGAAAACAAAACTAAAAAAAAAACCGCAGTTAATTATTTGGACCTCTGAAGATACAAATGTTTTGTCTGCGTTGAAATTGTAAATCTATAACTTTAAGTATGATATGGCAATTAGTTAAAACAGTTAAGTTTCAGTAATCTCACACATCATTAAAACGTATCATCATCCTGCCCTCTCTCCCCCTCCCGCTCCTTGCTCGCTCTCCTCGCCTCCTCTCCGCTCTCCCTCGCCTCTTCTCTGCCTCGCCTTCTCCCTCGCTCTCTCTCTCTCGGCTTCCTCCTCTCCTGCTCCTCTCTCCTCCTCCTCTCCTCTCTTCCTCTTCGCTCCTCGTTCCACTCGCTTCTCCCCTCCTCTCTCCCTCGCTCCTGCCTCCTCTCCTGCTCCTCTCCTCTCCTCTCCTCTCCTCTCGCCGGTCCTCTCCTCTTCCTCCTCCTCGTCCGCTCCTCTCGCTCTCGCTCTCCTCTCCTCGTTCCTCTCCTCCTCTCCTCTCCTCTTCATCCCATCCTCTCCCCTCTCTCCCTCCCTCCTCTCCGCTCTCTATCCCTCCTCCCCTGCCCCTCCCCTGCGCGTCCCTCCCTCCTCCTCTCAATCTCCTCCTCTCCTCCTCCTCTCCCCCCCCATCCTCTCTCCCCTCTCTCCTCTCGCCTCCTTCCTCTCCGCTCCTCTCCTCTCTCGCGCGCATCTCTCTCCCTCCCTTCCTCCCCCTCATGTCTCCTCCTATCTACCTCCTCCTCCTCGCCTCTCTCCCTGCTCCTCCCGCGGACCCTGCATCCTCTCCTCTCCCCCGCTCTTCCCCCTTCTCTCTCCTCTCCCCCCTACCCCCCTCCTCTCCTCTCCTTATATTTCGAGTTCGATGGGATGAGAAAGCTGCGGGAAAAAAAGCCTACTCTTCAAGAATCTATGCGTATATATCCATAATTTATGTCTAGATGACAGTGTAATGTTGATATACTGATCTGCACCCTCTCTCTTCCTTCCTCAACGGATGGAGGGGGCACATAGGAGGAAAACTTGGGTGTGGCTTCAGTTCTTCAACTCAAGAAAAACGCTTCGTCTTCTGATCATTTGAAGACTTTGCAGCTTTCCTAAACACTAATTCCTGGTAAGCCTACTAATCATACAGGGGTGGTAATTGTATAATGTTAGTATAAAGTGCCCATTTGTTGTAACCTAAAGCCTGGTTTCTTTGGCTAATGTATTTTATCAGTATAACGATGCAAATATTTTTATTTGTACAAAGGAATGTCAATTTGAATGTAGTGCACAGTGTGAGTGTTCTAGGTCGTCACACAATGTAGGGAAATCATATTACCAGACCTGGGTCAAAAATGTTTTCTGAATTTCAATTAGGCTACTTTTTATTGGCATTTGCAAATACTTCAAATATGTGTTTGTGCTAGTATTTGAAAGGCTGCATGTTCAATTATTTGTATTTAAATGTCTGGGTAGTAATTGGAAACTCACCATTATTTACACATTTCTATCAGCATTAGCAATAACTACTCCTACATACTTTATGCTAAAAATACAATTTAAACATTATCATGTACTTCTTCAAGCTATAGTTTTTCTTTTTGATATTTTTGATACTAAATGGCGGCCAGTCAGTGTTATGTTTGGAAGGATTGCTGCACATTTATTCCTAATAATACTGCTGTCACGCCCTGGCTCTGGGGACACTGTTATGTTGAGCCAGGGTGTGTAATTCTATGTTTGTATTTCTATGTTGGCCTGAGTGACTCCCAATCAGAGGCAACGAGTGTCAGCTGGTTGTCTCTGATTGGGAGCCATATTTAAACTGTCTGTCTTTCACTTTGTGTTTGTGGTTTCTTGTTCTTATTTGGTTTGTGTTACACCGTAGACATCACGTTATCGTCTGTTGTTTTGATCGTGTGATCATTCATTAATAAATATGTTCACCTTCAACGCTGCGCATTGGTCTCTCCCTGACGATCGTGACAGAAGAAACCACCAGAAACTGGACCAAGCAGCCTAGTGAGGAGCAGAGTGGGTGGACTTGGCAACAGTGGAGGAAGAGCTTCGACTGGGTCAAGCCGAATGAGGAGCTGAATGGCGGAGATTGGAAGCAGAAGAGCGAGAGTTGGGCGAGAATTATCGAGGTCTGGCCCCGGGGAAGAGAGACTCCCAGAAAATTTTTAGGGGGGGGCTCACGACGTCGGACAAGCAGGAGGCCGCGATAGAGCGGCCCAGTGGGTTGCCAGAGGAGGCCGCCAGGTTACGGGGGCCACTGGTCGAAGAGGGGATGGAGGATGTAGAGGCACGGCGAGAGGTACTGGCGTGTGTTGCCAGTCCGGTCCGGCCCGTTCCAGATCCCGGTGTAGGGCCAGTGGTTGTGTGTCCCCAGTACGGTCCGGTCTGTTCCTGCTCCCCGCACCAAGTCAGTGGTGCGCGTCGTCAGCCCGGCTCGGCCCATTCCTGCTCCCCGCACCAAGTCTGTGGTGCGTTTCGTCAGCCCTGTCCGGCCCGTTCCTGCTCTCCGCACCAAGTCGGTGGTGCGCGTCGCCAGCCCAGTCCGCCCATTCCTGCTCCCCGCACCAAGTCTACGGTGCGTGTCGCCAGCTCGGCCCGGCCTGCTCCCCGCACCAAGTCAGTGGTGCGTTTTCGTCAGCCCTGTCCGGCCCGCTCCTGCCTCCCCACACCAAGCCAGTGGTGTGCGTCGTCAGTGCAGCACGGCCCGTGCCTGTTCCCCACACCAAGCCAGTGGGTGTGCGTCGTCGGTCCGGCACGGCCCGTGCCTGTTCCACTGGTGCCTGGTCCGGCACCGGTCAGATGCGTTACGCCGGAGCTAGAGCAATCCGCTCCATCAGTGTGCAGTCCAGCTCCGGCCAGCGGGACCGGACCAGGGGTACTTTGGGGGGTTGGAGAGGGAGTGGGGATCAGGCCCGGAGCCGGATCCGCCGCCAAGGCGGAGTGCCCACCCGGTCCCTCACCTGTGGTATTTAGTTGGCGCGGTCGGAGTCCGCGCCTTTAGGGGGGGGGGTACTGTCACGCCCTGGCTCTGGGGACACTGTTATGTTGAGCCAGGGTGTGTAATTCTATGTTTGTATTTCTATGTTGGCCTGAGTGACTCCCAATCAGAGGCAACGAGTGTCAGCTGGTTGTCTCTGATTGGGAGCCATATTTAACTGTCTGTCTTTCACTTTGTGTTTGTGGTTTCTTGTTCTTATTTGGTTTGTGTTACACCGTAGACATCACGTTATCGTCTGTTGTTTTGATCGTGTGATCATTCATTAATAAATATGTTCACCTTCAACGCTGCACATTGGTCTCTCCCTGATGATCGTGACAACTGCCCCAGTGTCACGGTTTCGGCCGAGGCTGCTCCTCCTCCTGGTTCGGGCAGACTTCGGCGGTCGTCGTCCCCGGAGTACTAGCTGCCACCGATCTATGTTTCATGTTCGTTTGGTTTTGTCTTGATGTTGTACACCTGTGTCTAGTTAGTCCTCGTTAGTGTCCTATTTAGTTCTCGTTGTGTGTGTCTGTGTTTGTGTGTGATTGCTCTTCTGTTTTGGTGTTTGAGCTACGTACTTCCCTCCAGTGTTTGGAGAGGTTTTCGCACATGTTAGTGCGCCGTTTGTTTGACGCCTGTGTGCGCCGTTATTTCGCCTCTGGGCTTATTGTGCTCATTTTCTACGTGAATATTTCACTAAAGTCTTTTGGACTGAGCTTCTGCGTCCTGCGCTTGATTCCTGCACCACACCCACCTTCAGCACCCCTTGACACCCAGGAGGAACATTCTCTGAGGCAATGATCAAGCTTAAAGGATTGAGACAGGAAGTCAAGAACAATGCTGGGCAGGACGTGTTATGTTGGAAGCGAGTGCTGCATGTGTCACGATCGTTCACGGAAGATATGGACCAAGGCGCAGCGTGATAAGCGTACATTTTATTAAGTACACAACACTCGACAAAAACAACAAACAAACGATACGTGAAGTCCTAGGTTATACAAAACAAACCTTAACGGAACAAGATCCCACAACTAATTAGTGCCAATCGGCTACCTAAGTATGGTTCCCAATCAGAGACAACGAGCTACAGCCGTCTCTGATTGGGAACCACCCTGGCCAACATAGATATACAAGAACTAGAACCGAACATAGAAAAACTAAACATAGAACATCCACACCCTGGCTCAACATTTAAGAGTCCCCAGAGCCAGGGCGTGACAGTACCCCCCCTCAAAGGCGCGGACTGCGACCGCGCCAACCAAACACAACAGGGGAGGGGCCGGGTGGGCATTCCACCTTGGAGGCGGACCCGGCTCCGGGCGTGACCACCACTCTTTCGCTTACCCCCCCGTAGCGCCCCTGGTCTGGACTGGAGCCGCTGGCCGGAGCTGGACTGGACACCGGTGGAGCGGATTTCTCTGGCTCCGGAGTGGATCCGCTGACTGGAGTTGGACCGGAGCCCGGTGGAGCGGATTGCTCTGGCTCCGGAGTGGAGCAGCTTGACCGGTGCCGGACCAGGCACCGGTGGAACAGGCACGGGCCGTGCCGGACTGGACACACGCACCACTGGCTTGGTGCGGGGAGCAGGAACGGGCCGGACTGGGCTGTCGACGCGCACCACTGGCTTGGTGCGGGGAGCAGGAACGGGCCGGACCGGGCTGACGACACGCACCACTGGCTTGGTGCGGGGAGCAGGAACGGGCCGTACCGGGCTGACGACGCGCACCACTGGCTTGGTGCGAGGGACAGGAACAGGCCGGACCGGGCTGGGAACACGCACCATTGGCTTGGTGAGGGGAGCAGGAACAGGCTGGGCTGGACTGGGACCACGCACCACTGGCTTGGTGCGGGGAGAAGGCACAGGCCGGGCTGGACTGGGAACACGCAACACTGGTTTGCTGCGGGGAGCCGGAACGGGCCGGGCCGGACTGTGGAGGCAGACTGGAGGTCTGGAGCGGAGAGCTGACACAACCCGTCCTGGCTGAATGCCTATTTCCACACAATATGTGTGAGGCATCAGCACAGGACGTACAGGGCTGTGCACTCGTACTGGCGCTATAGCACGTGGCACTGGCGCAGGATGTACGGGACCGAGGAGGCGTACCGGAGGCCACGAGCATTGAGCCGGCACACCCCGTCCTGGCTGCATGCACCGGACGTACAGGACTGTGCCGGAACACTCGCGGCACAGTACGTGGCTCCGCATAACACGGAGCCTGCCCAGTCTCACGCTTCCTAGCCTGAGTACGGGGAGTTGGCTCTGCTCTAACTCTAGGCTCCGCCAACCACCCTTTTAGCCCCCCCAATTTTTTTTCTTGGGGCTGTCTCTCAGGCTTCCTCCTCGGCCGGTACCCTCTGCGTTGCCGCTGCTCCTCTCTGTAGCGCGCCTCCACATTCTCCTCCCAAGGACGGCGATCCATTCCGGCCTGAATCTCCTCCCAAGTCCAGGATCCCTTCCCGTCCAGGATCTCCTCCCAAGTCCAGGCTGTCTGTTCCTGGACACGCTGCTTGGTCCTCTTTTGGTGGGATCTTCTGTCACGATCGTTCACGGAAGATACGGACCAAGGCGCAGCGTGATAAGCGTACATTTTTTATTGTACTTAACACACGATCAAAAACAACAAACAAACGATACGTGAAGTCCTAGGTTATACAAACACAAACCTTAATGTGACAGAAGATCCCACCATTACAGGATCAAGCAGCGTGCCCGGGAGGAGAAGCTGGCGATGTCGCAGGTGGGCACATGTTGGTCTTGGGAGGACATATTCACGGGCAGAGGGCCATGGGCAAGAGTAAATGCGCAGGCAGGAGAGGAGAAACGACGACGGACACGCGAGAGGCAACCCCAAGTAATTTTTTTGAGGGGGCACACGGCGTGGACGACGGGGCTGCTAGAGGCAGCTACAGGGCGAGTTTGCGGACTAGGAGAGGAGGCCACCAGGTAACGGGGGCCATTGGTCATGAGGGGGAAGGAGAGTGTAGAGGCACGGCGAGAGGTACTGGGGTGTGTTACCAGTCCGGTCCGGCCCGTTCCTGATCCCCGCACAAGCCCAGTGGTGTGTGTTCCCAGTATGGTCCGGCCTGTTCCTGTCCCTCGCACCAAGCCTGTGGTGCGCGTCGCCAGCCCGGTCCGGCCTGTTCCTGCTCCCCGCACCAAGCCTGTGATGCGCGTCGTCAGCCCAGTCCGGCCTGTTCCTGCTCCCTGCACCAAGCCTGTGGTGCGCATCGCCAGCCCGGTCCGGCCTGTTCCTGCCCCTCGCACCAAGACAGTGGTGCGCGTCGCCAGCCCGGTCCGGCCTGTTCCTGCTCCCCGCACCAAGCCTGTGGTGCGCGTCGCCAGCCCGGTCCGGCCTGTTCCTGCTCCCCGCACCAAGCCAGTGGTGCGCGTCGCCAGCCCGATCCGGCCTGTACCTGCTCCCCGCACCAAGCCAGTGGTGCGCGTCGCCAGCCCGGTCCGGCCTGTTCCTGCCCCTCGCACCAAGCCAGTGGTGCGCGTCGCCAGCCCGGTCCGGCCTGTTCCTGCCCCTCGCACCAAGCCAGTGGTGCGCGTCGCCAGCCCGGTCCGGCCTGTTCCTGCCCCTCGCACCAAGCCAGTGGTGTGCGTCGCCAGCCCGGTCCGGCCTGTTCCTGCCCCTCGCACCAAGCCAGTGGTGCGCGTCGCCAGTCCGGTCCGGCCCGTTCCTGCTCCCCGCACCAAGCCAGTGGTGCGCGTCGTCAGCCCGGTCCGGCCCGTTCCTGCTCCCCGCACCAAGCCAGTGGTGCGCGTCGTCAGCCCGGTCCGTCCCGTTCCTGCTCCCCGCACCAAGCCAGTGGTGCGCGTGTCCAGTCCGGCACGGCCCGTGCCTGTTCCACTGGTGCCTGGTCCGGCACCGGTCAGCTGCTCCACTCCGGAGCCAGAGCAATCCGCTCCACCGGGGTCCGGTCCAACTCCAGTCAGCGGATCCACTCCGGAGCCAGAGCAATCCGCTCCACCGGTGTCCAGTCCAGCTCCGGCCAGCGGCTCCAGTCTGGAGCCTGTACGGTTTGATCCACCGTCGTCGGGTCCAGCTCCAGTCAGCGGTGCCAGACCAGACCAGGAGCGCAACGGGGAGGTGGAGAGAAAGTGGTGGTCACGCCCGGAGCCAGATCCGCCTCCGAGGCGGAATTCCCACCCGGCCCCTACCCTGTTGTGTTTGTGTGGCGCGGTCACAGTCCGCGCCTTTTGGGGGGGGGGGGGGGGGGGGGGGGGGGGGGTACTGTCACGCCCTGGCTCTGGGGACTCTTAAATATTGAGCTAGGGTGTGTAGTTTCTATGTTGTATTTTCTATGTTTATTCTAGATCGTGTATTTCTATGTTGGCCGGTTGGTTCCCAATCAGAGGCAGCTGTGGCTCGTTGTCTCTGATTGGGAACCATACTTAGGCAGCCTGTTTTCACCAGTTAGTTGTGGGATCTTGTTCCGTTAAGGTTTGTGTTTGTATAACCTAGGACTTCACGTATCGTTTGTTTGTTGTTTTTGATTGTGTGTTAAGTACAATAAAAAATGTACGCTTATCACGCTGCGCCTTGTCCGTATCTTCCGTGAACGATCGTGACAGCATGTTTATTCCTAATAATACTGGCCCAGGAGGAACATTCTCTGAGGCAATGATCAAGCTTAAAGGATTGAGACAGGAAGTAAAGAACAATGCTGGGCAGGATGCACATGCCTGGGATTGGTTGGACTTAACTTTTGGAAAATGGGGAGCAATGTTCACTAAAATGGCAATGATGATAGGTATAGCACTGGTAGTAATGGGAATAGTATTTTGCTGTGTGTTGCCATTGCTGAAATCCCTGTTGATCAAAACAACGGTAAAACAAATGACTGTGAGGAGAACGGCTATAAGGACCAAAACCGAATGGGACATGAAATTGACAGAGGTGATCCAAGTTCCAAGGAAACCAGGACATTATATTAATTCTAACAGGAAGCCTTGCAACGACAAAGGAGGACCACTTGACTGTACTTATGGAAACCCAGAATGTGTATATGGGGTAGTGGCAGGAGGAAGATGGAAGTGAAGACAAATATAAAAATCTGTGAAAATATTATTTAAAAATAGAAATAGAAATACATATTGGAATTTGACCCAGGTCTGCATATACAGTGAGGGAAAAAAAAGTATTTGATCCCCTGCTGATTTTGTACGTTTGCCCACTGACAAAGACATGATCAGTCTATAATTTTAATGGTAGGTTTATTTGAACAGTGAGAGACAGAATAACAACAAAAAAATCCAGAAAAACGTATGTCAAAAATGTTATAAATTGATTTGCATTTTAATGAGGGAAATAAGTATTTGACCCCCTCTCAATCAGAAAGATTTCTGGCTCCCAGGTGTCTTTTATACAGGTAACAAGCTGAGATTAGGAGCACACTCTTAAAGGGAGTGCTCCTAATCTCAGTTTGTTACCTGTATAAAAGACACCTGTCCACAGAAGCAATCAATCAATCAGATTCCAAACTCTCCACCATGGCCAAGACCAAAGAGCTCTCCAAGGATGTCAGGGACAAGATTGTAGACCTACACAAGGCTGGAATGGGCTACAAGACCATCGCCAAGCAGCTTGGTGAGAAGGTGACAACAGTTGGTGCGATTATTCGCAAATGGAAGAACCACAAAAGACCTGTCAATCTCCCTCGGCCTGGGGCTCCATGCAAGATCTCACCTCGTGGAGTTGCAATGATCATGAGAATGGTGAGGAATCAGCCCAGAACTACACAGGAGGATCTTGTCAATGATCTCAAGGCAGCTGGGACCATAGTCACCAAGAAAACAATTGGTAACACACTACGCCGTGAAGGACTGAAATCCTGCAGCACCCGCAAGGTCCCCCTGCTCAAGAAGGCACATATACAGGCCCGTCTGAAGTTTGCCAATGAACATCTGAATGATTCAGAGGAGAACTGGATGAAAGTGTTGTGGTCAGATGAGACCAAAATCGAGCTCTTTGCCATCAACTCAACTCGTCGTGTTTGGAGGAGGAGGAATGCTGCCAAGAACATGGAGGTGGAAACATTATGCTTTGGGGGTGTTTTTTCTGCTAAGGGGACAGGACAACTTCACCGCATCAAAGGGACGATGGACGGGGCCATGTACTGTCAAATCTTGGGTGAGAACCTCCTTTCCTCAGCCAGGGCATTGAAAATTGGTCGTGGATGGGTATTCCAGCATGACAATGACCCAAAACACACGGCCAAGGCAACAAAGGAGTGGCTCAAGAAGAAGCACATTAAGGTCCTGGAGTGGCCTAGCCAGTCTCCAGACCTTAATCCCATAGACATTTTGTGAAGGGAGCTGAAGGTTCGAGTTGCCAAACGTCAGCCTCGAAACCTTAATGACTTGGAGAAGATCTGCAAAGAGGAGTGGGACAAAATCCCTCCTGAGATGTGTGCAAACCTGGTGGCCAACTACAAGAAACGTCTGACCTCTGTGATTGCCAACAAGGGTTTTGCCACCAAGTACGAAGTCATGTTTTGCAGAGGGGTCAAATACTTATTTCCCCCAAAGCATGATGTTTCCACCTCCATGTTTGACGGTGGGGATGGTGTTCTTGGGGTCATAGGCAGCATTCCTCCTCCTCCAAACACGGCAGGAAGTGTGCAAAGCTGTCATCAAGGCAAAGGGTGGCTACTTTGAAGAATTTCAAATATAAAATATATTTTGATTTGTTTAACACTTTTTTGGTTACTACATGATTCCATATGTGTTATTTCATAGTTTTGATGTCCTCACTATTATTCTACAATGTAAAACCAAAACCAAACACTGCATTCCACAGTAAGAACATCATACCAAAGGTCAAGCATGGTGGTGGTGGTGTAATGGTTTGGGGATGCTTTGCTGCCTCAGGACCTGGACGACTTGCCTTAATAGAAGGAACCATGAATTCTGCTCTGTATCAGAGAATTCTACAGGAGAATGTCAGACTATCCGTCTGTGAGCTGAAGCTGAAGCGCAGCTGGGTCATGCAGCAAGACAATGATCCAAAACACACAATGATCCAAAACAACAAATTGGAAGTTTTGTAATGGCCTAGTCAAAGTCCAGACCTAATCCCAATTGAGATGTTGTGGCAGGACATGAAAGGAGCAGTTCATACTTGAAAACCCACACGTCACTGAGTTAAAGCAGTTCTGCATGGAAGAGTGGGCCAAAATTCAGCGACGTGAGAGACTGATCAACAACTACAGGAAGCATTTGGTTGGAGTCATTGCAGCTAAAGGTGGCACAACCAGTTATTGAGTGTAAGGGGGCAATTACTTTTTCACACAGGGGAATTGGGTGTAGCATAACTTTGTTTATGACATAAATATGTAATTGTTGTGTTATTTGTTCACTTATGTTCCCTTTATCTAATATTAGGTTTTGGTTGAAGATCTGATAACATTCAGTATCACAATTATGCAAAAGTAGAGAAAATTAGAAAGGGGGAAAATACTTTTTCATAGCACTGTAAGAACTACTCCCCAACACTGCTTCACTGCCATGAGGATGGCAACACTTAACGAAGCTAAACCACATTATGCTTCCCTGTAACTTGGCATGTACCAAAGACATAACAATGGATGACAGCCTGCTCTTAAACACAAAACAATACAGGCATGTTGCTCATTGAGTTCTGCCTGCTTCGCGTGAAGTTATTTTCTCATGAAATAAAACAGAAGTGAAGAGCAGGTGTGGAAGAGGAATGTTTCCCAAGGAGTTAAGATAGAGACTCCTCCTTCTACTATGTAATGAACTCTTAGCTAATGCATTTTAGACATACTAGTATCTCATTCTTAAGAGCATATCTCTACAACCTGTCAGAGTCATAAGGACCCAGAGGAAGAATTGGTGAGAAACAGGTATTGAAGTTCTCACAGATTGTTGAAATAAAAACAATTTAGGAAAATATACAGCATGCTTTGGATAGTCTTGAATGATACACAACCAACATTTTGGTGTATTTCCTGTTTGCTACTCTGATCTGATAAACTATTTTTCACTGGAAAGTGAACCTTCCAAAAAGATTGTGTTTGCATTATTGAGTAACTTGCAAACTTTCACGTGTGTGAAATGTATTTACAATGCTCTTCAGAAGCTGTTGTATTGATTGAGTGTTCATGTGTTAATCCTAGTTTTGTTTATTAAATTTCTTTCTCATTTGTGTCTGCTGCAGCCAGAAACACGATCCACAACCATCTCTCAGATGTTTTCCAAAGCCACAAAAGCCTTCGTGAAGGACACAGATCATGATGGACGCCTTATCCCTGTGTCCAGTCTGAACGACACAGACAAACTGAATCTCCGATCACTCATTGTCAAGACCAGGCCCAGATGCTTCTGGCAGGAACCCAAAAACCAGTCCCCTGGCTTTACCCTCAGTGATGTCCTGAAGCCAAGAGAGCCTGGAGACTCACCTTTAAGCCCAAGTAAGCACCAGAGCAGCCCATTAGTGAAGAATAACTATGGGTTGTTGTTCTAAAATATCTGACCATTGATTTTCATTATTTATCCTACTCTTGTCTTTCTGAATAGATTATGAAAATGATCGGGTTGTGGATGTAGCTGTTATATATATATATGTGTTGTGGTATAATAGCATAGAAGAGTCCTTTCTAATGTTGAATGTTCCTTCAGCTGTCAAGGAGTGTGACTTTGTGGACTACACTGGGACATTTGGTGACAAGAAAGAAATGAACGCAGACGGAAACGTGCAGGCAAAGGTGGCTGGTTTCAAACTTACCGTGGGAGGGAAATTGTTCACCAAACAGAAGCTGTCCCTTGGCAGCCTGAACAAAGAGAAGGTTGATGTGAAGGAGTTATATAACTACTCAAAAGACAGGTGAGTTACCCTATACTGGACGTATGTTCAATACAGTCATATACAGTCATAATACATCATACAGTTCACCTTCCCAAGGAGTCAATTTTTAGACCCAAGACCAGCGGGCAACAATGGTTGCAATGACATCAGACAAGTATCTTTTATGTAAAAATGACATTTTCTGGTTGAAGTACTTTCAGATAACAAATAAATGGAACTGTACTGGTTTAACAACTTCCTTAAAGTTAAACTACATCCTCACTGTTTTCACTACCAGTTTACCTTAAAGGGACAATCTGTGATTGGTACATCAATTTTTTTACTTTTAAAGTAGCTTTCCAGTGTTTCCAGATTTCTATGAAATCTGACCTATAATGGCCCCTCCTGCAGAGTTCTGGACATGTCACATCCTGTGATCAAGCAGACCCGTGTGAATCCCAGGGCAGTGTTAGGCGTCTTGACGGAGAGGATTATGACGTCACTACCTTGCCCAGTCACAACCAAAGTCCGGAAGCGCGGCAATGTAGGAGCCAACATGAGCGCCTGTGTGGCCCTGAGCGGAAAGGTAGGAGGAAAGATTAACAAGCATGAATTATATTTGCATTGTCGTATCGGGTGAATGGTGGCAATTATTGCTGTCAACAAAGAGTCCGCTTATGCTGCACAATGATTAGAGGCTTTTATTAATATCACAAGGTTACAGCATAAGTTACAGACCCGCGGTGTCTGGAGAACGGCGTCCCAGATTGCAATGGCCGTTCTGTCTCTCTTTCGTTTAGCCCCTACTTATAAACAATGCAAAAAGATGGGCTCCCTCTTCTGGCCAATCACCAGTCTCCCCTGTCTACAACACACTTCCTGTCTGTTGTATGTGACGTTACACTAAAACATTCCCTCTTGATACTAAAATCAACATTCTTTCAGTTCCACTTAAAAACATTTAACAACGTCATAATCTCAATACACGACATATCCCCCCTTCGAGACGAACAGTCTCGAAAACAAACAGAATAGGATTATGACAAGTAACAATTTATCTTATTGAGTATCTTTAACATTAAACCAAAAACATTCTTCTCTAGAGTGTAAATACCTTTCTATGAAATAACTGTTTATGAAGTGTGAATACATTACTATGAAATATGAACAAATCTCTATGGAGTGTAAGAGCGAAAAACTGTCCGGCAGCCATCTTTTCAGATATCCATCCATCAATCAAGACAGTAAAATTCTCTCACGGTCCCTCTGCCCCAGGCAACGACCTAGATACTCCAAATAAACTCATAAACCATGTAAATGCATTTGAAACTATGATGCAATTAAATACACATGTAAGCCCCTGCAAACAAAATCCTATCCAAAAAATATCCACTCTAAGGCTGGTCAACCCATTGGACCCTAAAGTGGACCTCTCCCTGCCTAAACTCCCTGTCCCTAAGCATTCACGAAATAAACAAAAACATCTAAGATCCTCACATGTATTCAATAACATCAAACATCATTCTACAAAAATTAATACCTAAGAATATGACACAATTATGTATTACACATGCAAATATGTCTATATTTCATTGCAGACACTGGAATGTAGTCCACTACACTTCATCTCCCCGTAGTCTCCTCTTCCAATGGATTGTTGATGATGGAATCGGCCACACCCTCCTTGTTTCATCTCCTCCAGTCATATTGTCCCTTCATATTGTCCTTGTTTGAGTATTTCAATCTCCATATGTTCCCCAAATGCTTCTGGAAGAAAAGGAAAAACCAAACAGTATCTTTTGCAAAACAACACTTTCAAATTAAACATCAATATCAACTAAGAATATAAAAATGATATATAAATGATGTATGAATCACATAAATGATAGAATAATGAACTAGGATAATTATTCATTCATACACTTCCCCCCTGTGATTCATAAAATCATACCAAAATCACCCCAATATTGAAATTTTTTTGGGGGAAAAATTATCAAAACATCAAAAATTATATTTATCCATTCAGTTCCACTTGTCCATCTTCATCCAGATCAGGAACAGTCAACACCGGCATCTGAGTGTTGTCTCCAGGCATCACTCTCCAACCTATCTCAATATCATAGCTTTCTCAAAGGTCAGTAACAAATTACAAACATCACACAGTGTTATCAAAGCTGCCATTAAATGTAACCCATCACTGCCCCTACTGGCCTACCTGATCTTGCAACCAAGTCTTCTCAGATCTCCCAAACGCATCCCTTATATTCTTCAACGCATCTATAACACTCGTGATAATATCTGAACTATCTGGACTCAAAGTATACCTAATATTATCAATATGATCTTCCCAAATGTTACACCATACCATGGAAAAAGTCCCCCCTTCTCCCTTAGATTTATCCTTCAATGATAGGCTTGAAGACTATGACATGTAGCCATGTCTCTTTTCATCCAATTTCAAATATAGCTTCAGATTTCTGTGTCCGGTGCTACCCCTCTTATAATGGTAAAAACCTCATATGGAAGCTTCAACGTTGACATGTAACAACATCCTGTCTATCCATAGGGTAAGAATATATATGCTTTATCACCACAAACCCTCCAAATATCTCTAAAATTCCCCATAGTCACATGGTCCTCTGTAGCTCAGCTGGTAGAGCACGGCGCTTGTAACGCCAAGGTAGTGGGTTCGATCCCCGGGACCACCCATACACAAAAAAGATGTATGCACGCACGACTGTAAGTCGCTTTGGATAAAAGCGTCTGCTAAATGGCATATTATTATTATTATTATTAAAAGCTAATCTTTTACCATCAAAGTCCTGCTCTTCTTACTACCTGGTACATAAAAAGTAACATATTTCTCATTACTACCCTTAAGGTCATGCATACCCAAAGTTATCATATAACATCACAATCTGATATTCCCATAAACATACCCCTTACTCATATGTTTTATTAGAACAAAAACAACTTTTAGCCCTCAATGGTTACACCTCAAATGCTTCAGGGTTTGCTGTTACCTGATTTTCCTTCCCATCTAACAAATGCACCCAAGTTAATTCACTTAACCCAATACCACCTAACCCTAGGCTTAAACAAATGTTTTGACAATGACATTATTTTATCTGTTACTGATTGTTGTTGCTGATACAACAGTCATGACAAAGCATAAGATTGACACATACTTGATAGAGGTCGAGCGACCGTCTCTAACATGTTTGGTGCTGGAATTCTCACCAGACATGGACCCTCAAGATTCCTCACTGATTTTACAGAATGAGCTGCTGGAACCTGCCCATCTATCTCTAATTTTCACAACAGAAGAATCAAACCACTCCCTTTAGTTTCTCTCTCCCCTAACGAGCGGTACTGATCAGATACCTCTCCTTGTCTGTCATTAAAATCAAAGACCTCATCCTGTACCTCCATGATGAATCTATATTCTCTCTACTACTATCTGTTCTCCTATTTTAACCCTATTCGTCTTGCTACCCCCTTTAATTTCAGAAAAGTTGTTGTCGGTGTCATACTTCCTACATTTGCTATTGCCATCGTATCATTAATCCCTTCCAAAGTTACCATTAAAGTAGTTGATTTAGTTGATGTATTAACCTTAATTACTTCTAGTGCCAAAGTTACCAATATCCTATGTGTATTATTTACTGTTGGAGTGACTACTGTAACATATTCTTCCTGACCTCCTTTGATTAGGTGCAACAGCTTCTACTCCTGGTCCTGATAACAATACTTATTCTCCATAATTATCTCTCCATGTGGGAGGAACGTCCCCATCCTAACCCTAATAAGTATTTTTCCCCCTAAAATTGGTGCTGGAGCTATTGGTTCCCTTATAATCAAATGCGATATATTTATGGCTTTAATAACTATCAATGTTGAAAGAGTTAAATTGCTTCTCACTGTTGTTATAATAGACTGAAGTGTTAATGTCCTTAGTTACTTCATCCATTTTCCAAAGATTTGAAGTCTTTGCTTGTACTTCCATCTATCACCACTAGTGTCACTTTTTTCCAACTCTCAGTCCTACCTCTCAAACTTTTGATTATAAAAATACACCTATAATTACCTTGATCTCCCTACTCTAAAGTGTCCTTCACCACTGTTCTCTCTCTTACTACTAACTTTGAAACTTAGCTTACTGTCTTAGAGTTCCTTCAACCTAGTTCTCCTAACTTATTTTAATCTAATCTTTTCTCCTAACCTTTAAAAACCTTTTCCACTGATTTATTCACAAAATCCCTTTACCACCAATTTTTAGGATATGTGATTGGGAAAGTCCCCCTGCTTCTGACTTCTTTACACACAGACTTGGCAAACGACTAAACACCTTTTAGCCTAGCCTGAAATCTCTTAGTGTAAGAATGTAACCCAGAATAACAGTCACCCCTTTTAACTTTATTTTTCAGACAGATTGTCTAATAGGCAGTCTAATAGATTATCATCCTTCCTATGATATGATCTTTTTAAGCCAATATGATTCCCAAAAACCCTACTTTTTAAAATCTTCTACCAGACAGCCGTTTAGTGTACATCTTATTGTACAATTCAATTTACACCATGCATCTCTTCCCAACAATGCAATAGGTATATGCTCTAATATTAGTATCTTAAGAGTAATTAACTGTTTTACTACCTCAAATCCCTATCCTAATTAGTTAATTATACATAGTGAGATGTTTAACCTCTTTAGGCTGAACACAGATAAGTTTTTACACTATTCACTCTCACTTCTCATAGTCCTCTGGTTTTACTTCAATTGTTAGCTATTTTCTCTTCTTCTCTAATCGGTGCTATCAGCTGACACCCCCCTTCGTATCTTCTAGGCACTAACAGGTGATCTCGACTGCCCCTGTATCTTCCTTAAAAATGTTCTCTGTTGTTTCCTCCTGACTTGTTGCACTCACAGGTAAAGTAACCAATCTGTCCACAATTATAACAGTCTTCTGAAAGTTGCTGGAAGTGTAGCTGAAATCTTCCTCCTCCTTCTAAGCCTTCTCGTCCTCTTCCTCTCCAATTCTGTGTCTGTCCAGAAACTGGCTGTGGATATGGAACACCTGGTACCCCCCTTTGGCTGGTACAATTGCATTTGATATTGTTCAGTTGAAGCTGTAACAGTGATTGTTGATTTGGTTCACTCTGATTCTTCATAACCAAAGCTTCTCTTCTCCACCAGTTGTATGATTGAGTTTTCTCAGAGTTTCTTCGTCCTGTTCTTTGTTGTTGACATATCAGGATTCTTCAACAGCTTATATTCTAAGTTCTGTCCTCAAAATATCATCTTCCATCATCTTCTTACTTTTCTTCTGTGATCGTCGTTTCTGCTTGTCCTCTATCTATTATTCGTCTTCATCTCTGATGCAACAATCACCCTCCTGGATGATCACCGGAAGCTGAGGATAAACATCCCTAAGCTCTACTTCCTTCTCGTAAGGTGGGTGTCTTTTTGCTGAATCCGTATGTGAGAAAGGTGTACTAACTTCTGCCATTAGTTTCTCCTGTCACCTTCTCTATACCTCTGTTTATCTTATCGCTGGAATCTTTTATCAGTTTTTGTTTGAGAATGAAGGGCAACATTTGTTTCATTTGCCGGATAACCTAGCAATACTCTAGTTAAAGGGTTACTATTTTGTACTATATCAATCGGTGTAATTACTTTTATAGCCTTGATGTCATTTTTCCCCATTGTAACAACCCTTTTATATTCCTTTATCGTGAATTATTTTATTTTAGACTATATAGCCTATGGCTTCCCCCCTCTAATTATTAATATAAACCTAACAACTCCAAAAAATTTTTTTTTTTAAATAAATCAATTAAAAATCATGAATAATTAAAACCAATTTTTATTCCTATATCCTATGTCACCAATTTATCAATTAGTGTTGGCTATCTTACCACAACCCATCAAATGCAAGTAGTCAACTTCAGAGCAATCCCAAAAACAAAGCCTGTAACCCCTTGCTCTATAACCCCTTGCTCTATAAGCACCTAATTATCTTAAATTTACAGAATAATGTCAGTCCTTGATTCCCAACACATCTGTAATTAACCCAAGTGATGCACATAGCCTCCAAAATGCAATTTTTAATGAAATAGTATTTTCCAAGCCTATGTGAAATTGTCATAACATCAAATATTTTGTAACCAGACCAGTCTCAAACCCTTTTTTGACTTGATCCTCTGCCGCGTCACGTGATGTCACATCAGCACTTCCTGTATCTCCTCTCTCCTCTCGCTTATCGTTCCTCTCATATGACAAAAGAACAGAGACACAGGAAAAGATTTTAGTAGTTAATGCAATCACTGAGTTATTTCAAGCATATTCAATATTCCCCCACTCATATTCGCTCTAAGACTTAATTTAATTCATTACGTATTTTATTTTAATCCGTCATTTAACTCAGGACTAAATATATCGCTCAAAAACATTTTTAGTTTATTTTAATCCGTCATTTAATTTAATTCATTACGTCAACATATACCTAATTTATAAATTCACTACATCTCAACAAATAGTTTCATGTTCAAACACCAGCCGCTTTAAAACTATAAGATTCGTGTTAAAATCTCTCATTGTCTGTGTGTTTCTCTGTCTCCCTGCAGCCCCCAACAGAAATATGACCCATTAGCAAAAACGTGTTGTAGTTTAGTACCGTAAACCAAAACGTGTCCTAATCTCGTGCCATAAACTACAACTCCCACGTTTTGTAGTGTAGTGTCATAAAATTAAACGCATGCGCAAATGCATTCAATGATACGATTCCCAAACACTAGACCGATAGCATTACGCTACAGCTTCACTATTTTATACCTTATACTCACACAACTACACATAACAGAGCTCACATTTGCGTAGAACTCTGAATTCCACCCACATACAAACAAATGTAAGAGGCTTTAATCCATCGCAATGGCCCTCTAAGGACACGTTAGCATGTAGCACGCAACACAATTAGCATTTAGCATTAGCCGCTATGTATAATGTGGCATGACCCACACTCCAGCATTTAGCATTAACATTAGCCTTTAGCTAACTGCGGCCTACCACACAAACAAACATCCTGCACTGCCCTTATTCCTTTTAACATATTTCCCTACCATTTGTGCTACCGTGGATTAATGACCATTTCACCGAGAAATTAGACCCAATCAAACCCCCCGTCGGACGAAAGTCGAACCATAATCACAATCAGATAAACCCCATCAAACCAAGTTTTTAAAACCCACCGACTGCACATTCTATCGTGCAAGCGGATTTGTCGGCCCATCATTTTCTAAATGGCCCCCCCGGGGTCTTAAGCGGTACAGTGCCCTAATGAATGCGCATATCGGTTTTAATTGTACACCTTCAATACTTAATTCCTACCGTTTTATGCTCTAAACTTCCAATTACCTGCCGTTTACCCATGGAATATATTATAACAGACTCTAGTCGACCGCAATAACGCCACACGAGGCACGGTCGTATGGTACACCTCTCCAGTGTACACAAGCAGGATCCAATCTAACAAGCTCCAAAGCGGTAAGAAAAACTCACCCTTGTCTGGCCATGGCTTCAAAGCGAGTTAGCCTGGCGGCTGAATGAAACAACGGGGAGATGCAGACCAGCCCCACGTTGGGCGCCATTTGTCGTATCGGGTGAATGGTGGCAATTATTGCTGTCAACAAAGAGTCCGCTTATGCTGCACAATGATTAGAGGCTTTTATTAATATCACAAGGTTACAGCATAAGTTACAGACCCGCGGTGTCTGGAGAACGGCGTCCCAAATTGCAATGGCCGTTCTGTCTCTCTTTCGTTTAGCCCCTACTTATAAACAATGCAAAAAGATGGGCTCCCTCTTCTGGCCAATCACCAGTCTCCCCTGTCTACAACACACTTCCTGTCTGTTGTATGTGACGTTACACTAAAACATTCCCTCTTGATACTAAAATCAACATTCTTTCAGTTCCACTTAAAAACATTTAACAACGTCATAATCTCAATACACGACAGCATCAATCTTCATATATTACTGGTAACTCAGATGTAGATTATCTCTGTTGTAAAATAGATTTTTAATCTCAATAATCTCACTTTATGATAGCTAGGCCTACATAAATAAAGTAATTGTCAAGACCATATTGACAGATCACAGATGTCTGTTCAGTAGTGGTAATACTCACAGATGTCTATTCAGTAGTGGTAATACTCACAGATGTCTGTTCAGTATTGGTAATAGTCACTGATGTCTGTTCAGTAGTGGTAATAGTCACTGATGTCTGTTCAGTAGTGGTAATAGTCACAGATGTCTGTTCAGTAGTGGTAATAGTCACAGATGTATGTTCAGTAGTGCTAATAGTCACAGATGTCTGTTCAGTAGTGCTAATAGTCACAGATGTCTGTACAGTAGTGCTAATAGTCACAGATGTCTGTTCAGTAGTGCTAATAGTCACAATCAATCAATCAATTTTATTTTATATAGCCCTTCTTACATCAGCTAATATCTCGAAGTGCTGTACAGAAACCCAGCCTAAAACCCCAAACAGCTAGTAATGCAGGTGTAGAAGCACGGTGGCTAGGAAAAACTCCCTAGAAAGGCGAAAACCTAGGAAGAAACCTAGAGAGGAACCAGGCTATGAGGGGTGGCCAGTCCTCTTCTGGCTGTGCCGGGTGGAGATTATAACAGAACCATGCCAAGATGTTCAAAAATGTTCATAAGTGACAAGCATGGTCAAATAATAATCAGGAATAAATCTCAGATGTCTGTTCAGTAGTGGTAATAGTCACAGATGTCTGTTTAGTAGTGGTAATACTGTATCTTGCTCTAGTCAGAATTATGTAGCTTGGTTGTTCCATGAAAATAGTGCTTTGATATTGAAAGTAGAAATGTAAGATCAACCCTGTTACTTGAACTGAACTGTCGTTTTAATATGGTGAAACTATTCCTTTTTAAATATTTTTTTCAAAATAAATAATCTAATAGTCAATCATAGTGTAAAAACTGGTGAGCTTGTTCTACTCTTTTAGGCAATTTTTTTGGTGTTTTGTGGCGGAAAATTGAGTGGTTCGACACACGCCATTGATAGACATGCTAGAAAAGTTTAAAAAAAAAAAATAATAATTGTGAAGCTTGCTTTCAATTGCCACTCCCTGCAAACAACAAGCTTCCATTCCCCCTGTCACAAGGGTAACCCTGGTTACGGTCAACCTTCCTTACTTTATTTGGCACTTAATAGGCACTTACTATAGTCATAAAAAAAACATTATTTCTTGAGATGGGAATTGGTGGAATGACCCAGCACTAGTTACCACATCATTTCCTGTTTTTGTCATTAGACCCACTTCCTGAAAATGAAATGGTGTAGTAGAGGTGACTGTCTGGGTTAGAATCTGGGTCGTCTGTGCACCAAACGTCTCTGACTGATTTGACATTTTCTCCACAGGCCTCTATGAAGCAGAGCGGCAGTACTCAGACAGATAGTGATGTGTCACTGGTTATTCCTGCAAATACTGTCATGGCCTACAGTCTGATTGACCTCTACGTCAAATGCAATGGACAGTTTGGTGAGGAAGTGTATGGTTAATCAAGTACAATGTCCCAGGTATAGCTGCATGGTTAAGTACCATGGTAAAGTACACCGCCAGCTTCTATGTTCCTCAGTGTATTTAGTACAGCCACTGTCTGTGTGTGACTGGTTATGGCTGTTGTCTGCTCTTGTCCACAGAGCTGTGCCTCATTCACAAAAATGGGGGCTTTGAAATGGATAAGTCAAATTATGAGTTTGAAGAGGATGGAATTATGGACCTGGGAGGCGACTTTGATGTCAACAGCCCCCTAAATCTGAAGAAAGGTAATAATGCCAATGGAGGCTAATGTCTCCTGTCTAGTGGTCAACATGCAGTCTACTGAATGGATCATCTGGTCAACATGTAATGTAGTCTACTGAATGGAACGTTTGGTCAACATGTAATATAGTCTACTGAATGGAACGTTTGGTCAACATGTAATGTAGTCTACTGAATGGAACGTCTGGTCAACATGTAGTCTACTGAATGGAACGTTTGGTCAACATGTAATGTAGTCTACTGAATGGAACGTTTGGTCAACATGTAATGTAGTCTACTGAATGGAACGTTTGGTCAACATGTAGTCTACTGAATGGAAACGTTTGGTCAACATGTAATGTAGTCTACTGAATGGAATGTTCAACATTTCTCTTTGATTAGTAATTACAAAGTTACCACACTTTTGAACTATATAACAATTAATTGATTTCTTGCATGAAAAATACCACACTTTGACTAAATGGTCTCTATGTTGTTTGTGTGTTGACAGAACTGGAGAAACTGAGTGGTCATTTCCAGCTGCTGTCAGCCCTGCCAGCAGCCACACGTTCCTCTCTGCTCCAGCTCCTCCAGACAACCATGGAGGATGGAGAGGCAGTCAGTGTGCTGGAGAGTGTGGTGAGTGGGACGTACAGAAACACGGGCCAAACCAAACACACACACACACACACACACACAACTTAATGGCAGGAATGAATATATCAACAAGAATATCTGTAACACACTCTCTGTCTTAAATATACTCTCTCTCTCTCAATTCAATTCAATTTCAATTTAAGGGGCTTTATTGCATGGGAAACATATGGTTTAATTGTCAAAGCAATTTGAAATAGATAATAAACAAAGGTGAAATAAACAATAAAAATGAACAGTAAACATTACGCTCACAAAGTTCAAAAATAATAAAGAATTTCAAATGTCATATTATGTCTATACTACAGTGTTGTTAATGATGGTTCAAATAGTTAAAGTACAAAAGGGACCAATAAATAAACATAAATATGGTGTTTGTTCTTCACTGGTTGCCCTTTTCTTGTGGCAAACAGTCACAAATCTTGCTGCTGTGATTGCACACGTGGCTTTGGATTGTGTTTGTGGTTGTGTGGCTGTGGCTTTTGCTTTGTGTTGTTGACTTGGAACACTGGTGGTATTTCCACCCAATTAATATGGGAACTTTCTTCAAATTGTGATTTCAATGGATTTTGTTTTTTTTTTTTCGAATTTTTTTTTTTCGAATTACTTGTTGGGTTCTGTGTATTCTGAGGGAAAAGGCATGTGTCTCTAATTTGGTCATACATTTGGGCGGCCAAGGAGTTTAGGTGAAGTGCAGCTCAGTTTTCTATCTCATTTTGTGTGCAGTATTAGTTGGAAAAAACCATACATAGCTGTCTTCTCGTGAGAGCCAGGTCGCCTTCGGCTGCCTTCTCTAAATTAGCAAGGCAATGCTCACTGAGTCTGTACACACGTAAAAGCTTTCATTAGTTTGTGGTCAAAGTCACCAAGTGGTTTAGATACATCTGCCACTGTGGTACTCCTCTGTTTAGGGCCCAAATAGGCCATTTCTAGTATTTTTTGTAATCTTTCCATTGTTGTCAAGTAGTTACTTATCTTTTTGTTGTCATCTGATTTGGTTGGGTCTAGTTATTGTTGCTGTGCTGTATGGGGGCTTTGTGGGGGTTTTTTTTTTGTTTGTGAACAGGAGCCCCGGACCCAAGCTTTACTTAGGGGACTCTTCTCCAGGGTTCATCTCTCTGTAAGGTGAGGCTTGTTGTTATGGAAGGTTTGGGAAGCGCTTTCCTTTTTAGGTGGCGAATTTTAATGGAATTTTATTTATTTTTAATTTATTTGGTGAATAATGCGCGGTGGGGGGGGGCGGGGGCCAGTTGGGTGGGGAATAAAATGAAGAAAAAAAAAAGTAAAAGCGGCGCGGCCGGGGGGAGGGAAAAAAGAGAAGAATATAGAAAAGTAAAATCGCTTTCCTTAGGGGTGGTGGGGTGGTTTGATTTTTTTAGTGATGAATTTTTTGATTTATTTTTGAGTTTGAATTTTGCAATTTTATTGAAATTATTTGATTTTAACTTGAATTTTTATTATAATTTTATTTTTTTTTTTTTTAACGGCTTCTCTTTTTCTGGATTTTGATTAAAAAAATATTTGATAATTTTTTTTTATTTTTTTTTTTTAATTTTTTATTTTTATTTTTTTTATTTTTTTTTTTTAAAATTTTTGGGATCTTTTCTTTTTTTCCAGTTTTTTAGGTGTTTAGGGTGGTTGAATTTTAAATTTTTTTTTTTTTATTTTTTTTTTTTGTTAAAGGATTATATTATCTGTATTTTTTTATGAGATTTTTGATTTGATTTTTAATAAAATTAGAGGTATGGGGGGGTTATATAGTGAAATATAGGTAAATTATTCATTTTTAATGTCTTAGAGTGTATTTATTTCTGAAGTAATTATTTAGGGGTAAGTATATTTTTGAGATGGGGGTTATTTACTTAATTAGGGTTTATTATATTAGTGTTTTTTATTGAATCTGATTTATTAGTGTATTTTTCTTTTTATCAGCATGATCATGGATTTAATTATTTGTCCAGGACAGGAACATTGATTATTTTTTCCAGAATTCTGCAATGGCAAGGCAAGAGTCTCAGTTTTGTCCCATTTTGTGAAATTCTTGGTGGTGAGGTGGACCCTCCAGACTCAAAAACCATATTAAAAATGCAATGGGTTTCTATAACTGATTATGCAAGAGTTTTTTTTAGGCCAGATCTAATCTTGGTTGTCGAATTTTATGTTTCCTTTTGGGATGGCCATAGAAGGCCCTTCTTGCCTTGTCTCTTCTTGCCCTTCTCTCTCTTCTAGAGAGGGAGAGAGAGAGACGGAGAGAGAGGAAGAGGAGAGAGGGATGAGAGAGAGGAGAGGAGAGAGAGAGGAGGAGAGAGGAGGGAGAGAGAAGAGAGAGAGAAGAGGAGAGAGAGGAGAGGTAGAGAGGAGAGAGGAGAGAGATAGATCTAGAGATGTGATATGTTGAATATCGAGCTTACTCGATTATGTCTCTGTCCCCTGCTAACATATCTCTCTCTCTCTCTCTCTATCCCCAATTCATATCTCATCTCCTTCGCTCTATCGCGCACCTATATATTCTCTCTCTCTCTATCTTCCTGGTCACAGCTGGATCGACGTTTGTGATTGGGTTGGAGGACTCCTGACCTGGGTGGATCTGGAAGAAGTCTGAGAGGAAAAGGACAGACAGTCCCAGGCCATAACGGATCTTGTTAGACCACTGTGTGGGAACGGGATGAGCGAGGTTCCAGAAGATCTCACTTCTCACTGCCATTCCACCCTCATGTCAGTTTGGCCTATTGACCGGTTTGAAAAAGATTTTAGAGGAGGCATGTTGTCACAGGGATCGTTTGTTAATTATTTGAATCAGTTAATTGGGAAACTAGGTTCCACTTACTGTGGTTTATATGGTGTGCATATTTATTTTCTACAGGGGAAAAATGACAGAATGAGGGTCTTCTCTGTGTTGGGGATTCATTGTTGCAGTCTCCGTCTTACAGGCCCTGGCAGAATCCTGGGTGAGTTCACACCTGCTTGATTGAGCCTCCAATCCTGTATGGACTGGACTTCATTTTTCAAAATTTTTGTTTATGTAAATGTCTTTGGGTATATCTTCCCATTCTAAATAAACTAATATTTCTACCATTATGATAACATTGTGCCACCAGTAGCAGTAGTAACACCGATGATAGTAACCAGTGGCGATTTTTAACAAAAATATTGGTGGGGCAAAACTCAATGAAAAAAAGTTGAATATGAATCGATACATTACTACACTACACTAACCATAGAATGCACCATCATAAATAATTACCACTCCCAGAAATGAGTTTAGAGCCCACACACACAAACGTTCTAACATATGGGTTATGATCAGTGTATAGGCTACTTTCCCATATCTTTGGCTCTCATCACAACCGGCCGTGATTGGAAGTCCCATAGGGTGGCGCACAATTGGCCCAGCGTCGTCCGGGTTTGGCCGGTGTAGGCCGTCATTGTAAATAAGAATTTGTTTCTTAACTGACTTGCCTAGTTAAAAAAGGTAAATAAATAAATAAATACATTTTAAAAATTGCACAGAGACCACGGTTAGTCCGGCCATACTTTTAAAGAGTAAAGTTGATTTTACTTCAGAATCAATCTCAGCATTGGTCTGACAATATTGCTAATCATTGTTAGAGTATTGGGACACAGACAAACACCATTCTGAGTGTAGTTGCATCTGCCTGTTAACAAGCTGCTCCGGTTATGAATAAAGCAACAAAGTTTATAAAGCTACTCCCTCGCTTCAACCATTGCATAGAAACAGTTCCATGGGTTATTACATTCTGGACATCAATCATTAACAACACGTTGTAGCTAGCTACCTGTTAGCCACCACAAGTTCTATCCAAAACCACTCATATTGAATTATTTTCTAACTGCTTTATTTTAATGGAGGCCTGTTCATTGGCTGATGAGCACCAATATGTCTTATCTCTACATTTACTTTATTACGCAAAGTTTGAACATGATTTGCTAGGAGATAGTTGACATGATTCATGAAGACTTTTCAGCTAGCTAGCTAGAAGACGATAAACAAACTATGAAATTGACACATCAGTCCAATCAAAGCTACCGGAGATAAGACGTCGATTTATCTGTGGCAAATGACATCAAGCCTTCTTGGGCGGGCACTACTAATGAATCTCTATGGCAGCACCCAAGTGGGCAACCGCTGCCTGAGTCTTCCAGTACATGCTGTTGCACTGGTCCCAATGAATTCACTCACCCATCTGAACCTTTCAGAATGTGCCAATCACGTGCAGCCAATTGTGCGCAACCAGAGAAGATCAATGAGGGCTTTCCCTGGCTGGCCTCTCCACAACAGATCACTGAATGAGGCTGAAACAGCTGCATTAGGGAGCTGTCTTACTCAAAGTGACCAAAATAAACAATACAAACCGGGGAAGCGAGCACGTATGCTTAATTAGCTCAAGCAAATCAAATGTGTGTTTGCTTACTGATATAATATCTGTTGTGACATGAACGAAAGCCAGAATTACATGCAAAAACACCGCCATCTCCTGGAAGTTGTGGGGCTGCCCTAAATGACGTGTCGCCACATGACAGTAACAACCAATGACACATTTAAGTAATTAGGATTTTCTTAAATGGAGGCCACCCATCTCAAATCCTAAGGTCATTTAACCTTTAGTAAATTATTAAGTAAATTACTTTTTTAAAGAGATTTGATTCATCATTTTGCTCAGGGTGTAATTTCCCTTCATTTTAAATTGAGTTACACCAATGACACTTTTTTATTTAAACACACCAAATGATCAGTGGAATCATTATATATTTATGACGTACTAAAATGGTGTGATTAGCAAATAATTGTTTTTAATATAGGCCCCTACCCTAATAAACAGTTTGCCACTGGAAGGAATGCTCAAGGTCCTGATATCTTTGTAATTAGTGATTACAAGGGCCGGGTAACCACTAATGATATTAAATACGTTTATATTATAGCATTCAAAAATAGACATCTCTAAATCCCCAAAAACATGTCACTACAACTCTACTCATCACTACTGGGACAAGCCAATTTGCTTTCCCTAAGTACTTTAAACGATGCATAAAATAAAGTTTTGCAGTATAAAGGACTAATTGTCATTTAAAGTGTTTTTCATTGTGGCAAAGTCGAAGGATGCAAAATGCCAACTTAATTCAAGAATGACCCAGAAAAGAAAGCATATAAATGTTATTCCTTTGCTGCTTGTCCTCCAGGTGCAGCATGTGGCAGCAGGGGGTGGGGGAGACCCTCTCTCTGAGAGATGCAGGTCTGGCTGTTCTGACTGAGGAGGGGTGTTTGGGAGGACAGAGAGTCTCTTTGGTCACTCTAAAGTTACACTGAAGAGAGAGGAGGTCACACTGAGAACAGAGATGAAGGACCAGCCTGGATACCTTCCTCTTGTCATGAGTATCACTGTGAAAGGCCTGGCCTTTTAGTGCAAGCTGAGAGAGAGTGAGTGAGTGAGCTAGAAAATCATGTTTGAACTAATATTACTCACGATTCCATTCCATGTGTTACTCTTGCACTAGTTGAGGCTAAAGAAACTAGTGAACAACAATGTATGTATCCTTGTAATGCTTTCAGTAAGTTCAACAAACAATTACAGATGTCCCGGCTCCATTCTTCTAAACATAAGATAATATATCATAAAGGCCACATGGTGGGAGGAGGGTGGGGGGGGGGTCCTACATTTAGAGCATTGTCTAGTGACCCCACATGACAAGAACAGAACAGAATCCTGTTAAAAATACTGTTCACCAGAATCACATCTCCAAAAAAATCCTAAACATTTCTGTGAAGACTGTTATTGTACTGTACAGTCATTTGAAAGTGTAAACTTTCTCACATTACCGTGCTACCAGGTGCAAAAAACCATACTTATTAAAACAAAGATGAACTCCAGTACCCTGGTAATCTTGATGCCTAGAATACAAGTGTGATGTTTTTCTTCTTTTTAATAACTCAAAGATAACATCCCCAATGCTCAACATGTGGAGTCAGTATGATGGTCCATTCCTGTGATGTCGCCGAGATTCACAGTGTTTGAACAACAGACATTTTGTCATCAGAATACTACCAGTATGTTTATTACTGCAAGGCTCCTGTGATTTGTTCAAACTGAAACTAAAACGGACCCTTGAACTGTTATTGCAGTCTGGAACTGATAACCATCTGTTAGTGTTTGACTCTCCTACAGGACAGTGATGAGGTATGTGGATGTGACTTTTTGACCCTGTAGTAAAAGTTAGGCCCCGTACACACTCAGGTTGTACAACTGATTCACCACACATTGGACACATGATACAGTAGGCTACTACTGTAGTTCATCTACACAAAAATATTTCACACAACCATTTTTGCAATGTCTCCACAACACTGTTTGTGTAGAAACACTCTGTTGTATCATAACAGTTTTACCAAATGCGTTGTGCATTAGTTCTATAACTTCAGTGTGAACAGGGCCTTAAAGAGAACATTCCCCATTGCACAAGCTGTGCGCTTCGGTAGCCTGAAGAAACTGAAAGATGATGTGGATAAGTTACTGAGCTATTTACACGTATGAACAGGAGCATTATTCTCTGGTTAAATGATGACAACACTTATCAAACCGGAATATACTTCCTAGTAAATTGGCATGTAGTCTGCTTTTCATTGAGTTCTGCCTGCTTCTAGTAAAGTTACAGTATTTTCTCATGAAATAAAACACAAGTGAAGAGACAGGAATGCAAGAGTGGAAGAGGAACGTTTCCCAAGAAGGGGTTTAAGATAGAGACTCCTCCTACTACTATGTAATGAACTCTTAGCTAATGCATTTCAGACATACTAGTATCTCATTCTTAACATATCTCCAAGTCATAAGGACCCAGAGGAAGAAGCAGTGCGAACCTGGTAATGAAGGTCTTGCAGTGTTGCGATGAGAAAAATATACAGCATGCTTAGGATAGTCTTGAATGACCAACATTTTTGACTGAAATGATTTCCTGTCTTGTCAAAAGCAATGCTACGCTGTTCTGATCAACTCTTTTCCCAGGGAAAGTGAACCTTTCAAAGATTGTGTTTGCATTATTGAGTGTCTTGCCAACTTTCATGTGTGTGTGAAATGTATTTAGAATGCTCTTCAGAAGCTGTTGTATTGATTGAGTGTTCATGTGTTCATCCTAGTTTTGTTTCTTTGATGTCTTTGTCATCTGCTGTAGTCCGAAACACGATCCACAACCATCATGATTTCCAACGCCGTAAAATCCATGCTGAAGGAAGTAGATTATAACGGTAGCCTGATCCCTGTGTCCAGTCTGAACGACAGCTCCGGTAAACTGAATCTCCTCTCACTCATTGTGAAGACCAGGCCCAGATTGGGATGCTTCTGGCAGGAACCGAAATACCAGTCCAGAGGCTTTACCCTGAGTGATGTGCTGAAGCCTGGAAAGCTTGAAGAACCTAAAGACAAACCTTTTAACCCAGGTAAACACTGCAGCCCCTCCAGCAGGGTTGCCAGGTCTAGCTAAAATGTACCTAAATAAATCTGTTTTGCGTTTGTGCATAACTATAGATAAATCTGCCAGGAGAGTTTGAGTGATGAAAGTTGAATCGAGGATCTCAAACACTTGGACTAACTTTTAAAAAAATGAATGTTAGACTATTTTCTGGCAATTGTGCCATTATTTTGTGCCAGATGTTAAGACTACAAACAGTTATAAATGGCCCATTGCGAGATTGACTTTCATTAGGTATAGGCATAGGCTACAGACTAAAATATGGATTTATGATTGTGATTCAACTTTGCCATGGTTTGCTTGATAGATGCAGGTAGCCTATAGCCCCTGATAGGCCTACATCTTATTTCAGATAGTCTACAGTAGCGTAGGCAAGATGTAGACAAGATGTAAACTGAACGATTTAGGAGTTTGTGTTACGCTATGGTTAAACCCAGCACTCAGAGAAACAAAACATGACTAAGGGAGTGGAAGAAACAAAAATTATTTTAATAAAAGTTCAATTTGTCTTAGTCCAAAAACAACTGAAGAAAAGGAACAGAGTGGGCTAGTCGGCTCCGGAGGAAGGAGAGGCTGAGGCAGGCAGGCAGGCAGGCAGGCAGGTTGGGGGGTATGTCTGAATGCTCTAGTAAGAACAACGATCTGGCGCCGGTGGAGAGCCATGCCCAGGAATTAGTAGTGCAGGTTGATGAGAGAATAGGATGCAGCTGCGTAGGCAGGAATCACTGGAAACAACCCGCAGCTGCACAGGAGAGGCAGATCCTGAGCACGCCCCCCGATCCACTCCAGACACACACCGGCAGACGCACCAACATAATGGGGACAAACACACATACAGATACAACAGACAAAGAGGGGACAAAACCAGGAGGAAGGGAAACAGAAAAGGGAGAGACAAGCTGCCCACATAACAGTACCCCCCCCCCTCAATGGTCGCCACCTGGCGACCCACCAGGCCTGTCAGGGTTGTCGTGATGGAAGTCCGTGATCAGCTGAGGATCCAACACAAAACGCTTAGGGACCCAAGACCTCTCCTCTGGTCCATAACCTTCCCAATCGACTAGGTATTGGAGACCCCTACCCCGCCTCCGAGAGTCCAGGAGCCTACTGACGGTTGTAGGCCGGATGGTCGTCAATGAGGCGAACAGGTGGAGGTGGATCTGCCGGCGGACACAAAAGGCTGGAGGACACAGGTTTCAGTTGGGAGACGTGGAAAGTAGGGTGTATCTTCATGGCTGAAGGCAACTTCAAACGAACCGCAGCGGGGGTTAACGATGGACTCCACCACAAACGGACCCAGGTACCGAGGAGACAGCTTGCGTGATTTGGTACGAAGAGGTACGTTCTTTGATGACAGCCAAACTTCTTGACCAGGATGAAACACAGGTGCGGGAGTCCTGCTCCTATCCGCTGTCGTCTTGTTCCTGTCGGTGGTCCGAAGCAACGCTTCCGAGCGTCGCTCTACACTCTCTGGCAGCGGCGGAGGTTCTCCTGAACCGAAGGAACAGCCAATTCCTTCTCCTGAGCAGGAAAACAGAGGGGGTTGATAACCCATGGTTACCTCGAAGGGTGAAAGGCCGATGGCAGAGGTGGTGAGGGAGTTGTGGGCGTACTCTATCCAAGGCAGATGTTTGGCCCAGGATGATGGATGTTGAGCAGCCACACAACGAAGGGTTGCTTCGAGGTCTTGATTGGCTCTTTCTGTTTGACCGTTGGTCTGGGGATGAAACCCTGAGGACAGACTAACGGAAGCACCCAAAGCAGAACAGAAAACCTTCCAAACACGGGAAGTAAACTGTGGGCCTCTATCAGATACGATGTCCACAGGTATTCCATGGGGACGGAATACATGTTGAACTAGGAGGTCCGCTGTCTCACTGGCAGACGGTAATTTTGGTAATGCTATATAGTGAACAGATTTAGAGAATCTGTCCACAATGGTAAGTATAGTATCATTACCTTCAGACTTGGGTAGGCCGGTGACAAAATCCATGGCTATGTGGGACCAGGGACGGCTGGGAACTGGGAGGGGTAGCAGCAGCCCCGAAGGGGACTGATGGGAGGCTTTGCCCGAGCACAGGTTGAACAGGCTGCCACAAAAGCCACCGAACGTCAGTTTCCATTGAAGGCCACCAAAAATGTCTCTTAAGCAGCGTCAACGTGCGTCTCATCCCAGGGTGACCAGCAAAACGGGAGGTGTGAATCCACTGCAACACCTGAGACCGGACCGTCTCGGGAACAAAGAGTAGGTTGGGAGGTCCATCACCCGGTCCCGGGTCCGTGGCAAGTGCAGTCTTCACAAGAGACTCGATCTCCCACTGTACTGCCGCCACGACGCATGAGGAAGGTAGGATTGCCTCAGGCTCGCTGGTCTCCGAAGGGTCAGCAAACTGGCGGGACAAAGCATCTGGTTTAACATTTCTTGACCCCGGTCTGTATGTTAGAATAAAGTTAAACCTACTAAAAAACAGGGCCCATCTGGCTTGGCGTGAGTTGAGTCTCTTAGTGGCTTGGATGTAAGCCAAGTTTTTGTGGTCTGTCCAGACCACAAACGGCAGTTCAGCTCCATCCAGCCAGTGCCGCCATTCTTCCAGTGCTAGCTTGACCGCCAGCAGTTCCCGGTTTCCAACGTCGTAATTCCGTTCTGTGGGTGACAATTTCTTGGAGAAAAAAAGCACAGGGGTGAAGCTTTTGGTCAGTGGGGGAGCGCTGGGAGAGGACTGCTCCCACACTGAGTCAGACGCGTCCACCTCCACAATAAACTGCAGAGAGGTATTGGGGTGTATCAACACGGGGGAGGGTGGAAAACAGTTCCTTCAAAACCCCTACCGCCTGCTCCGCCTCAGGGGACCACAGAAAAGGGACTTTTGGGGATGTGAGTCTAGTAAGGGGTGCCACCACTTTACTAAAACCCTTAATGAATCTACGGTAGAAGTTAGCAAAGCCCAAAAATCGTTGAAGTTGCTTACGGGTGGTGGGGTGTGGGCCATTCCGTCAACTGCCCGGATCTTCTCGGGTCCGCCTTCACCTGCCCGCTCTCAATGATGAAACCAAGGAACGATGTAGACTGTTTGTGGAAACTCACACTTTTCTGCTTTGACGTACAGCTTATTCTCCAAGAGCCGTTTGAAGGACTTTGACGGACGTGTGGACTCATGCTCCTCGGGTTGACTTGGAAAAAAACAAGAATATCATCCCAGGTATACAAAGACAAAATGGTTTCAAAAAATCCCTAAGAACATAATTCACCATGGCTTGGAAATACAGCATGGGGCGTTTGAGAGCCCAAAGGGCATGACCAAATACTCAAAATGCCCCAGTGGAGTGTTGAAAGCAGGTTTTCCACTCATCTCCCTTTTCGGATTCTGACAAGGTGATAAGCGTTCCTGAGGTCGAGCTTGGAGAAAACTGTGGCGCCATGCAGAGGTTTCAAAAGCTGAGTTGAATGAGTGGAAGGGGGATACTTGTTTTTAACAGTTATGTTGTTTAAACCCCTGAAATCGATACAGGGCGTCGTAACGACTTGTCTTTCTTTTCAACAAAAAAGAAACCTGCACCCAAAGGAGACGACGAGGGACGGATTATGCCCGAGGCCAGAGAATCACCAAATCTACTGCTCCATTGCCTCTCTTTCCGGTCGGGACAGATTGGTATAAGCGACTAGAGGGCAAGGGAGCACCAGGAAGCAGTTCAATAGGGCAATCATAAGGCCCCTATGTGGTGGTAGAGACAGAGCCTTGTCCTTACTGAAAACCTCAGCTAAGTCATGGTATTCTTTGGGGACAGATGACAGATCGGGAGGAGCTGAGGGATGAGTAGGGTTACACTTAGTGGGGGGAACCGCTGACCTAAGGCACTCTGAATGGCAGTTAGTGCTCCAACTGAGAATGGTGTGACGTGTCCAATCAATTTGTGGGTTTGTGAAGAGCCAACCAGGGGAAGCCAAGGATTAGGGGGGTAGCTGAGCCAGATATAAACTCTTAAACTGAATGCTTTCACAATGATTTGCCAGAAATCACTAGGGAAACGGGGGTGGTTTGATGAGTTATCTCCGCGAGGAGGCTGTGACTCGAATGGGGGTAGGTAGTGGCTCCACGGGGATACGAGCTTGTGTAACGAACTGGTGGCTAATAAAGTTGTCTTCTGCACCTGAGTCTATGAAAGCTGAGAGTGGCAGGGAATGACTCTGGAAACGTAAGGATACAGGTACTTGTAATCGGGGAATGATGGGTTCAGGATTAACTCTGAGCTCGCGAAGTAGACCCACCGTTACGAGCGAGCCTTGTCTTTTGGTCGCTTAGGGCATGTAGCCAGAATGTGTGTGGCGTCTCCCACAGTACAGGCACTCACCGCCTGGAGGCGCGTTGCCGCTCTGCCGTTTTTGTTTTGTCATTATGGGGTATTGTGTGTGTAGATTGATGAGGGAAAAAAACGATTTAATCCATTTTAGAATAAGGCTATAACGTAACAAAATTGAAGAAAAAAGTCAATGGGTCTGAATATTTGTATGTCGCTCTGGATAAGAGTGTCTGGCTAAATTATGTAAATTGTAAATGAATACTTTTCCGAATGTACTGTAGATGAAGTTATTTTATTTTTTTAATACAGATTTGACCAATGGTTTTTATTATAAATAGTGAAGGGAATGGGTCCCAAAATCGACCCCTGTGGTGGCACCCTTTATGTATTTCAAGAAATTCAGACTTAATATACAGTGTGGTCCGAATTGATTGATTACCCTGATAAAGATTAGCAATAATGACTGTATAAAATAAATATTCAAATACTGAGCTATATTGTAACCAAAAAAAAAGGGGGAAATTATATAAAAATTTTTTTATAATACAATTTTCAGAGTTTTGTTTAACAAGTGAAATTTTAAAAAAAAAAACTTAAAAAGTTTGGGGTCCCCCCAAAAAATTTACACCCCCTAAAAAGGGTTCTTATAAAATTTAAAGGGTCAAAAG